ATGAAGCAAACACTCTTCCACTGTTTCCCAGAGCCAAAAATAAGCATGGTCTGCTAGATGAAGGCACTGTCTGTCTCTTGGGTTTGCTGCATGTATGCAATAAATGTAACTCATGTTAAACAGAATGCTTCTGAATCAAAGGTGGTGCCTCTCCATCCCTTAGCTTGGAGGTCCCAGAACATCAGTAGTTTCTCTCTTTAGCAAAACTACTTTAGTGGTGAATGGATGGATGGCATTTACTTGTTGTTTCACTTGTCTTTCTCACACACAAGTTTAAATGAATGATGCGTACCAGTTTCAACAAGAGATACTTTATTTTAGCAGAATCCTTTGTGAACTTTAGTAGCATTCTAAAATATTTTAAGACCTTGCTTAGATTTTAGGCTTGTTAAAATAAGGTTATGGGGGGTACACCATCTCTAGATGGGAACCTGCATTATAGAATGTTACCTATAGACAAACAGTTCAAATCATAAGGTGCCTATGACTTTTTGTTCAGTATGATGAGGAGAATTGCTGCTGTACTTTTTGTCATCCACAGAACAGTTGTGGACTTGCATCCTGGCAATTAGATGTGATAAGAACCTTTTCATGGTGCAGGGAGTGTGTTCACCATAATGAGGGGCAGAAAGGAGAGCCTCTCACAGTTTTCCACTGACAAATCCTGCTGTACAGTTGACCAAATGTATTTAAGTCTGACTTGTGCTACATCCTTGATCCAATTGCTGCCTTATGAGGTTCACCTTGATTTGTCTTCTTAATGGTTAAAATTTCCCTCTGTAAAATGAGAGCCTAAGGCTGTTGTGAGGCTAGGAATTCTTATATATTGAGCCTATATGATTAGGAATCAGTAGAAATAAAATGTGATAATTATTTTGAAAAAATGATCTATGACCTGTGGATAATTACAAAAAGAACAGAGAATTAAGGGTGAAGACAGCTGTAGCAGAAATTATTACTATATGGTTCAAATATTTCTTCCTTCGTGTCACTTTGGGACCACAAGCCACATTTTCAACTGTGTGTTTTAACACAGGTAGTACAGGTAGGTCTATGAGTATAACTGATGTTTCATTTAACTGACCAAGAAAGGCAATAATTCGAAAAAGATGGTTTTCAATTAATTGAAACTTTCCCATGAATTTGACCAGGATTTGTAAGCAGTTTTGGGTCCCATAAAAAAAAAAATTCTCTGAAAGTGATTCACAGATGCTCAAAAGCCTCTTTTTAGAATTAGCATTGTACAGTAATTAGTAATCACTCCTCAGTGAGACTCTCTGCCTTCCTTCATTATGACTGGACAAGGCTAAATTTCCTTCAACCTTACTGATTTTTCTTACCTAGGTGTCAGGAATATTAAAATAAGAATATCAAAACAAGCGCTTTTCGGTAATAGTTAAGCTAGGATGATCCTATTTTCTTTATGTGTACATACTTCAGGGGTCAGGCTAGATGATCCAGCTCAAAGTTACAGAAATGTCCCGAGGAACTGTGCAAACAGAATATGATAGTCAGATGTTCTGCCATTCTATCCATAGAAAATATAGATAATATTCTATTTGTTTTGATTAGAGGAAGTTTAGCAAAGCTTCAGGGTAAACTGGAAGGTTTCATCACAAAATTTTACTTTGTATATTTAATAAAAGGCAGTATGTTAGGAATATCAAATTCTTTAAAGAGTATGAGAGATTTTTATCAAATACTGATACTATTCTTGCTCTATTTGTTTGCAGTATTTTCTTGTTTATATAACCATAAGTACATGTCAAATATGTTTCAGGAAAAAAAAATATAGCTTCCTTAGAAGTTAGATTACTGCATATATATGATCCTTGGGCCCGTACAAGTATGAATAATGCTAGTGTAGTCAGTCCAAGGGAGGTTTATGTTACATACTGAGTATTTGTAGAACTGTTATTAATAAATTTGGCTTTTGCTCCTAATTTTATTTCTACATATCTAATAGGGTGGGAAAACCATGAGTTTATTTTTAAAAGAATCAAAACTCAAAATAATCTAAACAATGAAAACCAAAGCCAAAAGTCCTTTAATTCATTCTGAACTTCCGTTTGGGTAACTACTTCAGGAATTGGACCATGTGGTCTAACTTTCTTCAAGTGTTCGAACTCCAAGTTTAATGACCTTCAGAAAACCCCATTCTTCTACTGTTTTGTTTAGTATTCAATATTTTCTGTCTTTAAATATTATAAACTTTGTTACAACAGGCACTTAGAAACCAATCAATAAATAATCAAGTCACTGCACTCTCCAGAGTGTAAGAAACTCTTTCATTATTCAGCTGAGTGGTAGTTTTCATAGCATTTCCTTAGAGACATTTGCCAGTAAAACTTGTTGATTTCTGCTGTTTTTGCAGAATATTTTTTCTAATAGATATAAAATATGTTGCCTTCTATTCTTCTGTAAGTCATCTCTTAATTCTTGTGCTCATTTAGCTTTTTTTATTAGCAATTAAGAGTTCTCAAGAAGTCAAGGGCAAGGATGAATCAGATTGAAATGGGAAGGGAGGAGAAAAACCAGACCACTATACTGAGTACAGATGTGAGAAGAAAAACAGTGATATAGATCATACAACAGCTTGCTTTGCTGGGTGGACAAATATTGTCCAAGCTGTCATTAGTTATAATGGAAGAGTTGATATTTGGGTTCAAGTAGCTTAGGGTACTTTCAGATAACATTGTTACCTCTGACTGAATTGAAAAATTAAATACAAAACATTTTAAGTCACTCTTGACTTCCTCTAATATTCTTTACTAATTTGGAAGCTGATAGCACAGTATTTAAAGCCAATCTGACTGTTTTCTGTTTCCTGATCTCTCTCCTCCTTTGCGCTACCTTCAGTGTTGATCTGATCTTTTGCCGTGACATTTAAATGTGCTCAACAAGCAGAAAACATTCCGTGTTTCAGTTGGGTTAATTTACTGCCACTGAAAATCCTCAAAGAGTCTACTGAATGTCAGCTCCAAGGAGAGGAAAGGTTCAAATTTTGAAGCACTGGTGAAGGCAATATCATGTCAGTTAGAAATCACTTTGATTTAGGCTACTGCAAAACTGTAGGTTCAGTCTTGAATTTTGTGACCTCTGTTCGAAGCAATATTTTAGTCAACTATAGCTCAAATTTTAAGCCCCAGTGGATAGGAATTGCCTTATGCTGTGTATCTGTACAGGGCCTATTTGCACCTAGTAGAGACTTCAGTTTGGTCGCATCTTTTAAGATAACCAGAAGGCGCTAATCCAAAATGAAAACAATTAGGAAAATATGAAGCATACGAAAATATGAAAACATGAAAAGGATCTGAAAGCATCAGAATTTCATGACCCAGAGCAGCATTTTATTAACTTACTTAGTAGGAAAAGCAGGGATTTAAATGGAAATGCTATTGCATCCTTTATTTCTGATAGTTTTATTAAAAAGCAAAAATCAAACAAAAAGACTGCTGACAGGACTATAAGATAATGGAATATATAACCAGACCTTGAGTTTTTCTGCTATCTTTAGCGCTGGTCCGAGAATGTAATAAATGACTGCTGATTTCTGTATTAAGTCAAGCAATGAAAATTCAACCTAGAGTCATCCAGAAGGTGCCCATTTTAGGTCCTAAAACAACAGTGCAACTCTAGAATCTGTCTTTACCTACTGGAGGCTTTCATAGTAAATGGTTGTAGAAATATATTCGTTAGTACGGAAAACTCCTTCCATCACAGTCAGCATATTTTTGCTTTTGATTGCTAGATTTTAGAAGTGAATGACAAACGATTTAAAACAATATTTCCTGATTTTCTTATTTAGTAGCTAATAGTACTTAGAAAAAAAAAAAACTACTAAAAAAAAGTTTCCTCTGATTTTTACACTGACGATAAAGTCCTTCCCTCCAGCATCCAGGACATTTTGTATGAAAAGCATGTTCTTTGTAATGTAATAAATTAGTGTCTATAATGCTGTTCCAAAGAGAACAGATTGTGAAGTAGTCAGGTTGTAAAGTAACCTCATTCCATCACAGTTGGATGGAATCATTTGAGGTTAAATTAAACAATTAAAATCTGTTGAATCAATTGTCATATGTGCTGAATGATTTCATAACTAGCTTGAATATAATAATCCAAAAATTTGGAAACCTTAATAATGCTTTTTAAACTTGTCACAGTACCGTTAAATGTGATGATTCAGATCTGGATAACATATTCAGATCCATATTTTTCTCAAATGCTAATTCACGCTGGATTTTTCTTTTACATCTCTTGTACTCTATATTGAATTATTTATCTTTTCATTGAACTTTGATTCTGCTTCTATAACACATAACTATGTGTATAGTTATAGCTCTTCATTCTGACAGAAGAGAACTACATAAAATCTTTAAAATTAATTTAAAATATTTTTCAAATATCCAAACTGAGATTAGATAAATGAAGGGAAAATAAAGCAATCTCTTTATAGTCATTCAGAGTTAACATGCATGCTTATGACCCACAAAAATGGTTTCTTCTTTAAGAAGAATTCTTCTCTAAGAAGAATGTGTGAAAAGGTGAGATTAAAATGACCAAATACAAAACCTGAATAAAAAGAATACAGCCACTTATTCAGTCAACATTGGAAAGAGTGTTTCATAGCTGATGTCTTTTTTTTCTCCCTAAATACAATCAATGCCATCTCTGGCAGTGAGAAAAATTACTTAATATTTTATTGAAATATGACTTCACATTAAGAGGTAGTTCCAGTGGTATATGGAAGTCTTTGCTTGTAGGAAAAGTTGCTGAAAGCTCATCATTTTATGAGTCAGATGATGAAGTTAGGATGAAATGACTAATGATTTATAGGGCAAGAGAGGATAGACAATGTCTTGCCTATGAAGTTGCAGTACAGTAAAAGTTGGAGGAGGAGTTGTTTTTATTGTCTACTATTTAAAATCATGAAGAGGTGATTAAGCTGGTACACAGATGTTTGGGCATGCATCTACTATTAATCGCCATAATATAAAATTTAGAAAAAAAATTCTACAGTAAACATTTTGAAAATGTGTTATTGTTTCTGTAGGTACATCACTTGTAACTGTAGAAGCTTATGAACAGAAAATAACAGGAGAAAGCATAAAATACAGCATCTTCAGTGACAAAGAAAACATATTCTCTATACATCCCATCACAGGTACATTAATATATTTATTTAAATTTTTAAGTGTCTTTTGTTCCTTTAAAGTGTGTGGTCGGTCTGTGATGTATAGCAAGCTCCTACCACAATTTTGACATTTCTAGTGTGTATACACATAAAAATATCCCTTGTATACCATAAATTCAGACACCTTATAATATGTGACTCCTCTTAAAATGAGTAGAAATTAATAAAAACAGAGATGTGGAGAGACTGGCACTAGCGTAAACTTGATGTGGAAAGAAATTGCACAAGCGTATATACCTGTTTAAAATGCTCGGCTTTAATAAACTAGTGATCACTGGATTTGGAGGAGCTCTGAATAATCTGTCTCTTCATGTTTAGAAATGAAACTCTATCTTGTGTCTTATTAGAAAGCTGCAAAAAAAAAAAATCCCTCTTTAGTGCAAATAAACCTTCTGAACATACCTAACGAAGGAAGCACTGGACCCTTGTTGAGTTTAATGGTTCAGACCTTGAAAAGTCTGAAAAAGAAGTTCCTTGTTCTTTGAGCAGTTGCAACTTCTTCAAAATGCATATGTATCTGCAGTATCATCTCCCTCACCAACCCTGCCTTAAAAAGAGAGAGGAAAAAAAAAAAGTAGAGGGATTTTTCTCTTTTAATAGGCCAGGCTGCACACTGGTTACAGGATGTTTTGCAAACATCATAAACATTTTCTTCACAAACATTAGTTGAATTCCTGTAGTACTGGATATAATGAATCTTCTTTTGAGACTTTTGAACTGTCGTGGTGAAGTATGGGTATCAACACTAGATGGCTTCTTATGCTATCACAGGTTCGGGCAGTTCATGACGATCACTGAAAAATTCATTACAAAACTGAATTTGGTTTCTCATGAAATCAGTGTGCAAATAAGCTATATTTAAAGCTGAGATATAACAAAGAATTTTGATTTATCACTATACTCCTTACAATGTTGAAACAGTGACCATAGATAGTTCTTAAAAAATTTTATGCTTTTATGGAGATGGTGAGTTGTACCCATTCTCCATGGGTAAAAAGTGAAAGTTATTTCACTGATTCTTTTTGATAGAATAATAGTTTTATTGGGAAAGAAGGAGTCTTAGTGTTTCAGGTGTTAGTCAGACAAATAGAGACTGATACAGCTCTTGCCTATTTGGATGTGGATGAGGTACTTGCCTTTTAAAGCCACTCTTCAAAGGAGGGCCAAGAGACTCCTGAGACACAGCTGTTTCACTGTCATACAGTCATGTCTCTTCCTCTCTGTCCCTCTAGGTGTAAATCTGTGTTAGGAAATTACCATGTGGTAACTAATGAGAGAAACTTAGGACACCCTGGATTTGTTCAGTAATAGCACATGGAGGATGGTGCTAGATAGAAGTAAGGGAGACCTCATTATTTAGAAATTTTATAACTTGTGATATATATATATTATATATAAATTTATAATTTGTGGGTTTTTTTTCCTGACTACATATGTCACATCTCAGTTTCTTTTAATAACCAGGTGTGATCACAGTAAAAAAACCCAAGTTTCTTGATTATGAAGTTAAGAATAAAGTACATCTTTTAGTGTTGGCTGAAAATAATGGAAATTCAGTGCTCGGTGAAGTGATGGTTTGGATACAAGATGTGAATGACAATGCACCTAAATTTGAGCAAAGCTATTATAAAGCATCAGTATGGGAAGGACAAATTCCTAAAACAGATATCATACAGGTAAGAGGAAGTATGTCTTCACAAGCTTGTTTGTGTTTAGAAAAAAAAATTCTTTTGAAGGCTGCAGGCCTGCTTTGGACTGCCACTTTTTTAAGAAATCAAGATGGAGACTCCTGGTATTTCTGCTGCTTTGCTTGGATATCTAAACTAATTGTTGATTTTTTTTTTCTATCTCAGATTTCAAGTCATTCATTAAATTCTATCAAGTTGAAGATTTTTTTTGTTCTCTTACTAGTTATGCAGCTTGGTTTTAAATTCAATTCTTTTATTTTTTGTTTATCTCTTCAAGTAATTGAATATTATTCCTCAAAGCTATGGTTCTGGTTACTGTGTAATTTGGGTCATACATTAGACATCTATTTGAAAGGCTGTAGCACTAAAAAGAATATTTTCAGCTAATCAGACTAGGAGTAGAAGCCTTGAGTCAAAACTGAGTGATCAATTCAAACTCTGGTGCTCCAGGAGCAGCTTGCCTCAATTTACAAGTGCAAACACTCCTTCCTCTGAATGGGTCTATTCTCTGAAAGTATTTCCAGCTGGCCAAGTTAGAGCAAAAGAAGACATCAGCTGGACTAGAAGAACACAATTTTCTCAATACATGTTCTTGCATTGCAAGTCAGGTCATGGTGAGGGTCATATTAGGTACTGCATATATTTGTCCTCTACAGAGCAAATAAATGGAAAGCTACGAATGCCTCAAGGGCAGAGTGATTAGGAAATGATGGACATTTTATTGAGAGAAACATATGTCTAGCAATCGGGAAAATCAAAAGGCAGTAAACCCAGATGTGCAGTCAAAAGTTTCTTATGGAATACATTCTATTATGTTCGTTATATTTATTGAATCTGACTAGTTACCTCTGCTATGATTTCATTCCCATAGTTATTATAATGCTTGTTCAGCAACCAGAAAAGATGCGAAGAAGCCTCTTCAAAGAGTCAGAAGAATCTGAGAAACGTGTTCGCTGCTGCTGGAAGTTATTCTTTTATAAAATCTTTTATAAAGATGTTTTTATAATTTGCTTTGCCCCTTTTACATTTATTCATATTTTGAAAAGTAGTTGATGAACTATCACATGAAAGCTCTAAAAACTCTTGTAATTGATTAATCTTATGCTTTATCTATTTGAATTGCAGCAATACTTAAGGGCTAGTCATGGATGTTCAATGCAGTGCATTTTTACATACTAAAGAGAGCCAGGATTGTATGAGCAACCGTAGCAGTGTAAACATGATCACATTGAAGAACAATCACTCCTAATGCTCTATGAAGCTGCATTTCAAATTATTCAAAAAGTAAATTATGTGCATACCATTTAAATTCATGAGCAGCTATAGTGCCCTCACATGACCTGACATGTTGGGGGCTTATATGATTACCCACTGAAATCTGTGCAGCCAAGAGGAAAGTAACCAGATATAGATGACTGTAGTATGAGGCTTCTCTTTCTGAAATTGCATTCTGTCTTGTTGAATTAAGTCCTAGTTTTATTTCCAAACAGGTATTTGCAACTGACCTTGACAGTGGGCTGAATGGAGAAACTGAATACTCAATTGTATCTGGTAATGAAAATGGAGCATTCCTAATTGATTCGTCACGAGGGATTTTAGCAACTAGTACAATCCTAGATTATGAAAACACTTCATCTTACAGGTTTGTTTGCAGAGTTCTTATAAAAAGTATGCTCCTTTTCTTTGTTCTTCTTAATTAGAAATAGCTCGTATTACACATTTTATAATTTTCAGTTGTTTTCATCAAACTGTAGATTCTGCATGCAAATCAGCCACCATCAAAAATAGCAATAAAGCTGTCCATTTGTGTCATGGATTCTTGGATGCTTCTCAAATTTAGGGGAAAAAGCATAGTTTTATTCCCTCAATTGCAGCACTTCTTGATAAATGTGATAAAACTGATTCATTATAGGGAAGATGACATTTCCTAGATTTTCATTTAGTAAGAACTATACAGCCATTCCCTACATAGAACTATTTTTTATAAGTATATAAAGACAGAGAGAAATTGCTCAAACCACATGCTATATAGAGACATGTTCTATTCTTCAATTAAATTTTGAATTTTCTTCTCCATAATCTGATTCTTCCCTAAGCAGTTTCCGTCTATAAGCTGTTTTGTATTTGAAATTCATTTTCTCTTGTTTTCCAGATAATTGTGAGTAAATACAATCAGGTGGACATGATTTTCTCTCTCTACAGCTCATACCAGAATTAGAAAGCTAACAAATTGTGACTTAACGAGAAAATAAAAGTATGCTGATTTTTTAATGTAAGCTTTTTGAATAATGTGATTTCTACAAAAAGTAAATTGCCATATATGCGTTAGTAGAAATTGTGATTTTTTTCATATGGTTGTGGCATCAGTTAAAGCATTTGCAGGTTTTCCTATCCTCTGGGGCCACAATTTTTTAATTATCCAATCAGAATTCTTATGAACCAGAATGACGTTTAGAAGAATACATCAAAAGGATCAACAGAATATGATTTTTTTTAAAATACTAGTGTAATTTGATAATAGTATCCTGAAAGAACTATTTTAACTTAATATCCAGATCACTTCATTTAAAGTTTATTTTTCATTGTTTCATTGAATCAAAAACTAGCTTTTAGTCATTTAAATAGCTTAACACATTTGATTTGTAAATAGTATTTTAAAACAATTTTAGAATAAATCCTCGAAAGAATAGATGTTCGCTGTTAACGAAGCACTGCACATCTTCATGCCTCTGCTTTAATTGGGAACTTGATTTGATTCAGTATTTATTTTGGAATTTTATCAGTTTTAATTAGAAGTTTGTTAGAGGAATCTGAAGCCTCATATCCCTTTTCTTTATTAGTGCTTTATTAATAAATCTGTATGCTATTATGTTAGGTGAAAAGAGAGAAAAGAAACTTTTAGATGTTTTTATGTTTAATTTCAAAATGATACTGTTGATCCTTGCAAATTTGAAAGGAGTTGTTTATTTTATCTAAATTAAACATTTTCATCCTCAGAAGTTCTAAGTCCTTTATAATAGGGGTTATAATAAAAGCGTTGACAGAACTTTAATTTTAATGCCTTGGCTGAGATGTTTTTATGAGTTTTTTTTCCCCTGAAACCTTAGAAAGTGATTATTTTTAGTAAAATATTTCCATATGTACCTTACCAATATTCATTCTAGACAAAATACACTTTCTGTATGGAATTTTACATGGTCACCAATTGAATACTACTCTGTAATTCAAGTTATGTGTTCTGTTGATGTCAGAAACCACAGGGGCACCAAGAGCAGAGCTTGTGTGGTTCATGAATGGCAGAAGAATCCACAGCTGGAATTACAGCTTTGGTATTCCATATTGTCATGTGAATATGGAAAAAGTAGTATCTACTTGACATTTAGAGCAGAAACTATGACTTGGAAGAAGAAGTGAGAAACAAAGTACTCAAAAGATCTGCATGCAGGAAAGACCCAGAGAGTATTGTGTGGCATGTACATAATTTTCAAAACACTTAATAAAGATACGAGGTCTTGAACTGTATATACCTTCATGTAGTCTGACTTTTTCTTTTTTATCAGTTCCTTTTCTAAAGGACTTACTGAGTTAGATTCGATTTTTAGATTCTTGCTGAAGTTACTGTTTTGGAAGTTTTCATATTATCTGATTTCATCTTCTTAATGTCCCTTTATAATCAATGAAGAAAGAGAGGTTCCTTCAAAGAACAGTTCAGCACTTAATTCAATTCCTGCTCTGAATTGCCTTGTGGAGAAATTTCTTTATTTCAAAAAAAAAAAAAAAAAAACTTGCTAGCTCATTTAAACACCTCTATTTGATATGAAATTGGGTAACATGAATACTTAGGAATACATACGTTTTTGCTACAGAACCTCCTGGATGTTGTTCCAGCAAGACCTAAAAGAATAAAATCCCTGCCAATCATTCCTATAGAAGTGAGGATACAAATCTAGGAAGAGCAATGTGAAGAAAAAGAGACTACCCTATTTTTTTCCCCCATTTGTATGTTTGGTGAATAGTTTTGTGGTTTCTGACAGATGGTGGCAATTACAGCTTCCTTCCATTTGTAGATTGGTGGTACAAGCTTCTGATAAAGGAAATCTTAGACTTTCTGGTACAAGCATTGTGTGGATACAAGTAGTGGATGTCAACGACAACGCTCCGATTGTCCAACCTCTCAGCAAAGTGGAAATTCCCGAAAGTAAGTGTAATTGTACAGTTAAGTGTTACAGGATTCGATTTGTCAGACCACAGTACTGCTTTTGGTGACTCATGTAATCAAGAGTTTGTAGTAGAAAGCATAATTGATTCTGTTAGTTTTGAAATACGGAAGAAAATTATGATCTTTTTTATGATTTTTATTATGATTTTTGTTCTCAAAGGCATTCTTAATCTTTACACATTGTATACGTGTTTTGAACAGGAACAGTTCAGAACGAGACCGTAGGCAGTTTAGAAAGAGAAAAGCAAACTCCACAGAAATACATCTGAAATCTGGGCATTTTGGGCTCCAATGCCAGGTCCTTCAGAGGTCTTCCATATCTTTTGTTTGTTTGTTTTTTGTTTTTTTTTTCTTAATTTAATAATGATGAGATTGAATGGGAACCACGGATGCAGAATAGCTCTGATATTACTGGCTACTTCCTTAGGTTTCAGCCTAAGTACTTTTGCTTTAGGACATGGCTGTATAGCACAATGTGTTTCAGGCTTCAAACTGCAAGACATCACCACAAAAATTGGTTTTGTTTCTGGTAGCTCTAGCCTTTGTTATATGATCACTGATAGAGGCAAGGTCAGTTTGCAATTTCTAGTACTGTCAGTCTGGCATGTGATAAAAGCTGTCTATATCTAATTTCTCAATCTCATAGGAGTACACTTGTTATCTTTAAGATTGTTGTGCCTGGCTGAATGTATCATTTCTAGTGGCCTTTTCTTGTTTTGAGAGGCTTTAGAAATGCAGTCAGAATTGGGATGAAGCGGGTGTATATGAAGAAATTCTCTACAGATTTCACAGCATGTCTAGATCTTGATTTTATTCTAAATGAATCCAAAATACACCCAAAAGTAATTAACACAGATTACATATATCTAAAATTTAGTATTTACAAAATTGATAAAATCTTCAAATACATAACATTTTTAGCTAAGACTTGTTTTGAAAATTATCATTTCAGATGTCCTGCCTGGTTTTACAGTGACTCGGGTCTCAGCAACAGATGCGGACTCAACGCCAGCACTTCAGTTTGGTTTTATTGAGGGTAATAGTCCTGGAATGAAGTTTGCTATTGATCAGTATACTGGTGTAATCACCGTGGTGGAACCACTGGATTTTGAAGAGACTGCGGTGTATAAGTTGGGAATCATAGTTTCAGATTCTGTACATCAAACGGAAGCAGAGCTCACTGTCCTTGTTTTGGATGTCAACGATAACCAGCCGGTGTTTACCCAGGATTCATATCAGGTAGGAGTCTGGACAAATGGACTACAAACATCTCTAACTTCTATATGTCTTTCTATATGTGATGATAAACAGTAGGAGTGCAAGTTTCTATGTATGCCTTAAAAATGTATTTATTACTGAGAAGGAAAGTCTCTGTAGCATGTAAATTGTCTTACAGCTGTGGTGCTCTTGTGGGAGGTGAGGGATATGAACGTCAATGGACCCAACATCATCTACCAGGCCGATTAGCTCACAAAGTGCAGCCTTTGCATTTCTGGACAGAAGTTTTAACTGCTAGACTGTTGTAAAAGTCAAGTTGTGCAAAAAAAGTTTTTGCAAACATTTTTCTGTGACTAAGGGCCAGTAAAATGACTTAAAGGGATGGGCGCGTATGTCATGTGAGGCTCCTAAGAATAGAGATAGGCAGCCAAAAGACTTTCACCCTGTGGGCTTTTTCTAAGGCTCAGCACATGTAGCGACCTAGGGCCAGGATAAGTGTTGGAAGACAGACTAAGCCTAGACCTGTGGTTGGAGAGGGGCTGCAGAGGGAGTGCCAAAGGAAGGGTGAGGTTTTTGAAAGAATTGCTCCCCAAGGACTTATTCATGTGGGCTAGACTCCGGGGCTTGTGCCAAGGCCGATGCCCAAGAGAGCTTAGAGCATGGGTTGATTAGCCTGGAGGGGAGATGGACAGGCCTGTAAGTACCATATGGGGGGCAGTATGGGCTTTTCTTTGTGGTAGCAGGAAACTCAGAAAATTCAAATTCCGTTAGCAATGCTTCGATTGTAAATCCCAGACGGATTTAGTCAAGTCAAAACAGTCTGCTCAGTAGGTAAGTCACCACCTCTGAACATATGCAGGAGCAGGAGTAGAGTTAGATAACTGTGGGACAGGCTGTGTGCACCTGTGAAAGTTTCAGGTGCCAGAGTTGGCAGAAATTGTGTGAATCACCTGCATACGCTTTTAAGTGTAAATTCCATTAAAGTGCATTAAAAAAGCACTTTAAATGCTCACGTTTTTCCTTGGACTTGGCCTTAATTTTTTCTCAACCCTCATATATATCTGGGTTTTGAGAATAGTTTAGGGAAGCATTTGTTCATGCAAGTATTAGGAATTTTTTTGTAGATTGAAGGAGACCTTAGAGGCAGGATTATTAACTGATGTAAATCAGCATAGCTCTGTTGCCTATGCTAATGTAAACCAGCTGAGCTTCTGGCTCTGCAATCCTGTTTTTTCGTGCGTTGCTTGGACACTAAGATACACAGCTTATTTTTCATTCAGTGATATGTAAAATTCCCTATTCACAGGCCTGTAATTTTTACCATGTTAGTATCCTTTCACAAGTTTTAATATTTATACTATATATGGATAAATATACATTAATCTTTGTAATGAAATGGTATAAACTAGCATTTGAAGCTATGACAAAGGCAGCTGCTGTATCATTAAGATTTGAAATTTAATTTATAAGGTGGGAGGCAATTTTGGTCACAGAAATACTTTATCTGGATTTCAAATAATGGAAGCTCTGAAGAAGGGAAAGGACTTTCTTGACATCCTAGAATTACATGAAGAAGAAAGGGTACATTCTGAAAAACTAAATACAACAATAATCTAGCGAATATTAAGTGCTCTGATGATGGGATTTTCAGGGTATTTTTTTTAAGGTTCACTCACATACTCCAGAATGGATCTGCAAAGTGTATGTCATGTACTGAAATAAATATTTTCTGAAAGCATGGGGAAACACTAGTTACAGTTACAATACACTATTAAATATTCCTCCTGTTAATATATTATTAATAAGAAACACTCAGAGATTCATTTAACTTGTTGTAATAATGAAACCTGAAGTAGATAGAGATTTTAATAATGTTTAAAGCTTACTCTAAATTTTAACCCTATTGTACACATTGCTTTCAATATCTTAGATGTTTATAGGTTTGTCCACTGAAGAAAATAAGTAGGTGAAACTTTTTCCAAACCTGGGAACTGTGTTTTTTCCCCTTAGTCAAATCAAATTAAAGATAATGATTTTGTTATGTTCAAAAACTTCCATGAAGCTTTATCAAGACTGTTTTTTCTTATCCAGCTTTATCAAAACTGTCATTGTGCTCTGCCCTTTAGGTGAGCTTGCCAGAGCTCATTTCTGTGGATGTCGTTGTTCTGACAGTCTCTGCTGTGGATAGGGATTTGGAGTCTAATGGAATGATTTCCTACAAAATGCTTTCTTCCTCTGAGGGATTTGCTGTTGATCCTGAGAATGGTGAGTCTGTTAATGTGGTTTACTATTTCAGCTCACACAGTGTAAACTGAAAGTTCATATTCTACCTCCTAACCTATTGCCACTGATTACCTGAGTTTTGGAATCTTTGGACATAAATACACTGTACATTTATGGCTAAGTACGCTGTTACACCTGAAGAACTGATGGCATAAAACCGGAGTTCTCAGCTTATTCCTGCACTGTGTATAGAGCTAGTCACAATATCCTAGATATGCTATTCCTCTGACATGATTTAATAGAAATGTTGCTGTAAGTGTTGCATTGTTTTGTGAAATTTCAGCTCATGCATTGGATTTCATGAAATTTAAGTTCGTACATACTACTTCTCAGTACAGGCTGAAGCTATCATGATGGAACTTCTTTACAGCTTGGGCTGTATGTTTTTAAGATTTGGACTATCCACTAATCTTAAGTGGAATTTCAAAGTTTTCTAAGTTGAGAACATTCCAAAGTACATCATTTTCTTGAATAGTTAAGAAATGCATGAACATCCTGGCCTATCGTTGTAGTATTCTGGGATGTGGAAAACTCTGTGTGCATGTATTTGTCTTTCTCTGTGTATGTATGTATGTGTATGTATATATATGTATATATATATATGTATACATAAGATTTTTGGTTATGCCTGTTTCGGAGATTGCAGAAATGTGCAGCCGTTGTTCAGTTTGAGCAAATTCATGTCACTTATTTGCTGTTCCCAAGCATTGATATGAGAGGAATTTTTGAATACAATGTTTTTTGGATGATAGTAACTGCAAACACAGAATACACAGATGTTTTTTCACCCAATTAAAGATGTTTTCTTTTTTACCCATTCGTATTCTATGTTCACCAACTTGTCTTTATCTTTGGCTAGTGACTGTTTTTACCTATGATTAGAAAATTGTAACACACCATTATTCCTGCAAGTGTTTACCTGTAACACTACAACATTGAAGCAGAAGTGAATGATTCTGAACATGTTTAGATAAGCAAGTTGGATGAGACCTGTTTACCTAACTTATTGGCAAACCTGCCTAAGTAACAAACATGTCTATAATGGACGGCAGGACAGGAAAACTAATAGCAGTCAGTACTGAACTTTCAGAGAACAGCAGCCTCTAGTAATGAGTCTGTATTTCCTTAGCCTTATTTTGCTATTTATTTTCTGCAGTTTACCTGTTTAGTCTATTAAGAAGATATATTTTTGCTAGTCAAATGCAGCATGTATATTTTTACAGTACAGTATATGTGTCGTACCATTGTGGGTAGGCGCTTGGCTTTACAGAATTAACTATGGTTTCATAAAGTTACTTTAGCATATATGCAACCATTGCATTTTAACCATTTTCAAATATGACCAATTAGATTCAGCTCATGGAATCGCATTTGTTTGCCTTTGTAAGTGTGTTTGTTTTTTGTTAATTCTATTTTATTTTCAGGTTCAATATTCACGACTGAACCAGTGATACACCTGGGAAAGAATTCCACTTTTCGACTCCTTATAGAAGCTAAGGATAGTGGAAATCCTGCTTTAAGCACAGTTACATCTGTAGAGATACAAATCAATGATGTAAATGACCATGCCCCTAAGTTCACGACAGCAGTGTATAATCTCAGTGTGAGTGAGGATGCCTCAGTTGGAGAAAGAATCCTCACATTTTCAGCCATTGACTGTGACTGGGCACATGAAAATACACATATTGAATACTCTATTATTGATGGCAATGCTGATAATCTATTCTCTGTGGAAACAAGTCTTGTGGAATTAGAAACATCTTACAGACTTGTTGGCAATCTTGTTTTGAGCAATACCCTTGATAGGGAAACTGCTTCTTCTCACTATTTGGTCCTCCTTGCATCTGATCATGGATCACCTTCCTTAAATTCAACTGCTACTGTACTAATAACTGTACAGGATGTTAATGATAATCCACCGCTATTTAACAACCTGGAGTATCATATTCACGTCAAAGAAAGCATTGCTATAGGTAGCCGTATCACCGAAGTTGCAGCAAGTGACTGCGATGTAGGGGCTAATGCAGAGATCACTTATACTATCAGCTCTGGAAATGACAAGGGTCATTTTCACTTGGATGAGAAAACAGGATCAGTGGATTTAATGAAAACCCTGGATTATGAAGATACTGTGAAGTTCACTTTGATTATCCAAGCCACAGATGGAGGAACTGATGTAAAAAATGTGGCTTTTTCTGTTGTTCTTGTTAGTGTCCTAGATGACAATGATTATGCCCCACTGTTTTTGTTTCCCAGCCTGAACTGTGTGGTCAGTGAGAATCTGCCTACCTTTTCTTTTGTGTGCACTGTTAAGGCACTGGATTTTGATAAAGGCGCCTATGGCCACATCACCTACTCCATCCAGTCTTCATGTTTTGCTCATCGTGATGCTCCTAGAGACCATGACACATTTTTCATTGACTCTTTGTCAGGAGATATTCATACAAAACAAATGTTTGACTATGAAAGTCAGAATAGGTACTGTCTCATAATCCAAGCAAAAGACAAAGGTGACTTATTGGCTACAACTACAGTTCACATAGATATTGAGGGGAGAGATGAATTTGACCCAGTTTTTACTCAAGATCAGTATTTTTTTAATCTCCCTGAGAAAAATGAAGCAGGTCAGTTACTTGGCAAAGTGACAGCATCAGATAAGGATGGTGGGCTGGACGGAGTTGTACATTATTCCTTGCTGAAATCTTCTCCATTATTTTGTGTAAATCAAACCAGTGGTAATATTTATTTGACTCAAACTGTTCATAGAAAGAAAAATGGCAGCAAAAGGAAAGAAGATACCCTGGAGTTGTTGGTAAAAGCTCATAGTCCAAAAATTGACTCGAAGTTCACTGTGTGCACTGTTTTGGTAAATGTTTCTAATTCTCCTGAAAGTTATCCCATAGGGTCTGCATACAGCCTGATAGTTACCATTTTGGTCTCCTTCATAGTATTCCTATTGGTTGCTATCGGTCTTATTGCCCTCGTTCTGAGATATAAGCGAAAAGACATGACGAACTCTTGTGTGAGAAAAGCAGCAGCATCCTCATCGGCTGTTGATTTAAGTTTGGCTAGTGAAGATAAAGTCCCCAGGGACTGCCAGAAAATCCAGAGTACTGAGAGCAGTATGCTTCCCATGGGCACCATAGCAGAATGGCTGAACTTAGTAGGAATCAGAGAGGAGGAGGATGTTGGTAACCCCTTTAGGCATTCAGATTCCAGTGGCCATGGTTCAGCTGAAGGGGAAACAGCAGAAGATGAGGAAATCAAAAGGATCAATGAACATCCTTGCAGAAAGAGAAATGGTTCACCTTTAAGTGAGCGAGGCTCTCAGATGCCAGATTCAGGAATTCCCAGAGAATCTGGTCAACTATCCTGTCAGTCTGGAGAAACTGATGTTGTGGCTACCTGTCAAAGCTTGGAGAGCGTGCAGGCCCTTAAAGACGAAATTGGAGAAGAAGCCTGTGACACAAACTATGCACTTAACAAAATGTTATCTCAAATGCTTAGGAAAATTCAAACAAAAGAGAAAGACATAATAACAGACTTCACCAAAGAATATGTCTTGACCTCAAATATGCAGGACTGCCAACATGATTCCTTTGCAACTCTTGTCATCTATGATGAAGATCTCGAAGGGAGTTGTAACCAGGATTATTTTTTCAGTTGGGAACCCAGATTTCAACCTCTTGCTTCAGTGTTTTGTGATATTGCAGAACTGAAGGATGAAAATGTACACATTCTGAGCTCTCCTAAGGAGAAGAAATCTAATTTCCCTCCTCCCTTGATAACATCAGTAGCTCAACCTGGCATAAGGACTGTGCCACCACGGATGCCAAATATAACCTCAGGACAAGCATTTACAAAATATGCCCGTTCTCCCCTTACTCATGATCTTGGATACCCTTCACCAACCATGACTCCCAGTTTTTCTCCTTCTCTCTCTTTACTTACTGCGCAAACACCTGCCACTTCTCCAGTAATGTCTGATGGGAGAATGATAGGAACATGTCTCATTGGTCCAAACCATGAACTTGCAACAGGGGAATAAATTCATGTCTAGATATTAACTGCTGGTAGTTTGTGGAAAAGCAGATGGTTCAAAATGCATTGTGCTGTTCTTTAACATGTAAAACAAGCCTCTCAGAGCTGTATCACCAGTAGTCTATTTCTGTGAGCTGAAAAGGTACCTGTATAACATAGCCACAGACTTTCTAACTCCTTTTCTTCTTCACAGAATGCACTGTAAGTCCATGAGGCCTCTCCTTTTTCATCTCTCCAAAACTACAGTTTCCAGTGTATCTAGCAGAGCCAGGTGCTTGATAACCAACTTGACAGATTTTACTTTTTTTTTTCTCTTTTTTCATAACGTATGTCAATACTTAATACTTTAATACTTCGCTGTGGAAAAATCTTCATTTGCGTGCTGATGGGTTCTGACTTTTTCTATGTTTGTATTGAAAGTGTGTACTAGAGGGACGTGTAAATATGACAGTGTTGAGGATGTGCGGAAAATCTCGCTGTCAAGAACTGCATGTCCAAAAGGAGACAGAGGAGTCCTAAAACTTTATTCGAATAAAGGGAGAGTCCACCGGGCATACCCCTGTGGAGTCTCTCAAATTGCTGGGGGACGCAGCCCCCCTTTTATCCTAATTTCCTGACCGAGGGACGCCCTCTCCTTTTCCCCATTGGCCAAGATACTCAGAAGTTACAGCCTTCCCGGCCCGCCTACACCGAACTCCGGCCTCCCGCCATCTGTTCTCACCTGAGCTCACCAACTCCTTTGTCCCCCTTGCTGAAGAATGTGGGGCAATTGCCCTATTTCCCTCCTTTGTAAAGGCCCCATCTCCTTGCAGATGGCTCTTTTTGTCCTTCTGGGCTCATGGCTCCACTCAGTCTCCCCTCCCTTTGTCCTGCTCTTCAGCCAAACTGTGGAGAAACCCCCTTATTGATGAATACAGAAACTTGAGCATTCCGCTCAATCCCTCCTCTTTTTCTTTAGAGGCCCTTGGAAAACAGAATAACCAATGGTAAGATAAAAGCAACCTTCCTTTTTATTATTAGATATATATTATATACCTATTATCTTTCTGTCATGTTACAGCAGCAGGTCTGGTCCCCAGAGAGCTGCAGAGTAGGACAGTGTTACAGTTCTGAAAGGCTTGTATGCCACCATATCATTCTTTGGTCCTATACTGAGTATATCAGTGCAAGACCAGATAATCTGGCCTTGTTTGTTATACACATCAAGATACATACACATGCTTATACTGCTGTGTATGTATGTGTATCAAATCAATAGAACACGTAGAAAAATCATTTACAATAAATCTAATTTCTCTTCAGTGTATAGTTGAAAGTCCTTGATGGTTCTTTTTGCATCACATATTAAAGGTGGAGTGTAGGGAGAGTCTAATGGGTGCCTGGGAATCGGTTACAGGTCAGATATGTACAGAGGTATGCATTGTACAGGTTGTAACGGGTAGAGAAATTGCACACAGTGCTGTTTGAGTGACTGACCTTGTGGGATCGATACCACGTGTGCAGTGGCAGATCTTTATTTGGTACAGCCTGAGGGCTCGTAACCTATCTTTGAAAGATTCTGGTTTTGAGGCTGTGTCTGCACTGTACGAACATGTAGGAAAATCCATGCTGTTATGCAGGAGGGCTTCTTTTAAGCTGGCACATATTCTTTGTACTCCTGTGTGGTCCAAAAAGCAGACATAGCTTAGGAGCTCATAGGAGTCAGTGAGTGTTACTGAGGAAGGAGACAAGGGAAGAGTTTAATGAGCCAAAAACCTGTGTCAGAAAAGAAGAAAGCAGAGACACACTATTGCCAGCTCATATCAGAACATGAGTATCAGCTTCAGGCCTTTATTTACATGTGGATCGTTAGTTTGGCCACCTGAGGGCTGGGCGCTAAAGATCTTTGGACACGTATCTGGAGAAGGTAGAGCGTATTTTTACATTTTATGTTGATACAGGCTGCATACATTGTTAAAAAAATTGAAGGGTAATTCATTAACTTTCAAGTAACTTGTTCTGGTTTACTACTAATGTAATTATTTTTGCAACCGACTGGCCAATGTTAATTTTTGAAACGCAATTCAGTGAGAAATGTAGGCACCTAAAAAGCCACCACAATGTGATAAAGGCTGCATACATTGTTAAAAAAAGATTGAAGGCTAATTCATTAACTTTCAAGTAACTTGTCCTGGTTTACTCCTAATGTAATAATTTTTGCAACTGACTGGCCAATATTAATTTTTGAAACATAATTCAGTGAGAAATGTATGCACCTAAAAAGCCACCACAATGTGATATCATAATATCAACATGTATAATAGTATAACTCAAATAATATAACAGTATTTTAAATTTTAATTTTGTATACATTTTTCTATTATAAAATGCTGAAAACTATCTACAGAATATACCTTTCATCTGTTAAAATTTTGATATTTATAGATTATTTGATTTTGGCTTTAGTGTTACATAAAATAATTTCTAAGAGATTGAGAGATGGTCTTTGTGATGTTACAGCTTCAGGGCATGTTTATGGTGCAAGAGCGTGTTTATGACGATACATTTTTAGGTAGGGTCAACTTTACTAATACGAGTTTAGTTTCAGGGAGTCATGGTCAAGTGAAAGATTCTGCTATGAGGAGGAACAATAAACACGTCCATGCTATTGTAATAACATTCATCCTTGCAATGGATGAATATCAGTGGAAGAATACATAGCAAAGCTGTTTGGTCTTTTGTATCGATTAATATGTATTAATAGCTGGGGCCTCGTGTCTATCATAGAGTCTAGACTAATGGAGGAATAGCTTTTTCTTCACTAATACTGCTGTTGCAACTGGAATAGTATTAGCATTAGGAATCATCAAAGCATTTAGTGCAAGATAAGGCCCTGAATATGCTTCTGTGTTTTGTAAGTCTGGACACTTTTCTGCCTGAAAAGTGAGCAAATCCTGTTCTCATTTGTTTCTTCTTTTCTGCTTGAAATGTAGCTTGGTTTTGAGGCCTTTCTGAAAGGATTAAGTACAACTTACATCCTATTTATCAAGCATGTGAGATAACCACTACGTGATACTTTTTACTTCTCTGAAGTCTTGCAGTAATATTTTCTTTATCTTTCTATGTATCTGTTTATTTTGTATCAGACAGGAAACACCACTGAGCTGACATATTGTTGTTCTGTTCATAGTTGAGCTTAAAAATGTGACTAGTGAAACAAGTATCTGCAATGAATCATGTGTAGTTCTTTTAACCTTGACATTTTTTTCCCTAAGTAAACAGTATAATTTTTATAATTTGCTGTGAGTTTAATATTAGCTTGCCTCGAAGAGGCTATGTTACTTTGCAATTCTGCACACCAGTTTTAGCACTTTGGAGAAGGTACAGAACTTGTTAGTGGAAAATCATATTAAGCTCAAAATGCATAAGCTGTAAAATAAAAGACAGTTGTCTGTTCTGGAATTTTGGCTGCCTGCCTTCTGGATTTGCTTTTTGGCAGCCTTGAAAATGCTGGTGTAAATCAGTACCAAATGGATATCAAAATTCCATCTACCAGTAGTAATCATTAAATTGACATTCACGTAGATTCCTATTCAAAGACAAAAGAATTCATATTTTTAGGGAATCTGTTGCTTAGAATCTTTTAAAAAAAAGACTTCTATTTTAAAATGGTTCTATAACTAATTACCTGCTTCCATATTTGGCCTATGGTTTATGTTCAGCTGAAGACAGGAATTATTCATAAAATAATTTTAGATAAAAAATAGCCTGATAAAAATGAATCCATTTTTCTAAGCCTGTTTTACTGCTGCTTCCTAATATCATTTATATTTGATTGCCATCAAGTCTTTGTTGTATGTCACTTGTTTTGACATGTAGCTTTCTGGAGAGTTATGTTTGATTCTTCTTCCTCACTGCTAATGCAACCATGTGCAAAACCAGTCTTTCGGAGAGCTATATGTCAAAGATGTGCTGCCCTTACAAAAAATATTGCTATGTGCTTTTATAGCTCATAGAGCAAAGGTCAATTAATGACTTAGTTGACAGCTGTATGCAGGGGCACAAGAAATCAGGCTGCTGAGACAGTCTCCTCTTCCACAGCTCCTCATCCGTGCCGACTAAGGCTCCTTGAAAACTAGCCTGAAAGAATGTGGGGGAATCTTTACAGTGAGGGAACGGGTGCTGATTTGATGGTGTTCCCTAAGATCCTGTACGAAATGCTAGTTGGCATAGGAGGCAAATGTGGCTCTGTGATTGAATATACTGTCGTAGGAGGATTATACTTAGATTTTGGCTTACTCTGCAAGTGAAATGGCTTTGCAGCTTCTTGCTCTTAGTTATGTTGTTGGCACAAAAAAACCCAGCTCGCTATGGCAAAATGTGGCTTAGTTCACTGCTGATGGTCTGGTTGGAATAACTAAGATGTTGCAACATCAAATTGTGTATACTTTTTGTGTGATGTTTTAAAAAAGCTGGAACAGATACGGATGCCTAGGCAAAGGAAGGGGTCTTAAAGAAAGGAAAACTGAGAATGTAACACCTCCTGGTTTAGACTCACACTTTACATTGCTGCTAGGGCTATTCCTTATAAAATCTCAAATGTTTTTCTTCTAAAATGTATGAAACATAATAGAAGAGCATCTATAAAGAATACAGACATGCATCAGTGTAAGCTGGAATTGTGAAATGTGTTTTTTTATTTCTTGACACCAGTGATGTACTTGAGCAATGTAGAAAATACCAAAGCCTTTAGTAATAGTTGCAAGAAATTTCAAGAATCAAAGTTTCTGTCCCATTACTGTTATAAGTATTTGACTGACCCAAACATATCCTGATGAAGCATTAGATGGCAAATCATATGCCTGAAAATGCAGATGTCATGTAAAAGGACTGAAATGCCTCTCTGTGGTATTCAAATATTTTGTTGAAGAACTTATCACAGTTAGAAAATTCTAATTTCCAGAATATGAAATTCAAAATGGAGGATTACAGCACTGTATGTTTAAAGCTGGCAGCCTCGTTCATGTC